TTAGTGAAATGTTCAGCATTAACTTATGAGGTAAATACTATTGCCGTGCACATTGTACAGATGAAGACATTGAGGTTTAGAGGTTTAGAGAGATTGCATAAATTTCCCAATGTAACACAGCTAGTGGTGGGGCCAGGATTCCAGGAAGCCTAACTCTGGATTTTAATAACCTAAAGAATAATAATAGCTAATAACCTTGTCACTCTCAGCATGTGCCAGGCATAAATTTATTGAGATCTTTATGTTTCTGTTGGATTTCTACTCTGCTGTGATGATTTTCAATTCTCAGTTGCCCTCTTGGGCCCTGGAGTGTTGGCAGCTGGGCAAGTGTCTTCTAAACAGAAACTTCCTAAATCATCCTTTGAAAAATCTGACCAGCCCAAGAGAAAATACCCACCCTTACTGACATTATATTCCTCCGCAATTAATCCCACCGGATAGTTCTATAGCAAATCTCACATGACACTGATGCCACCCATGTTTCAGAGCTTCCCAATAGCTCATTAGTGTCCCATCCTGAAACAGAAGACAACCAAGATTATCAGATATGTGGAGTGATTCTAGCTTTGTAATAGGAAAGATAGAAACACAGCAGAGAAAAAAGAAGTTAGAAGAAATAATCCATGAAGTGAAAAAATAGCCTTTTTATAGCTGTTATTAATATCTGCAAAGAGAAAAGATATGATATACATGAAAGAAGACTATGATATCATAAAAATCTCTTGAGGATTGAGGCCGGGTGCGGTGGCTCACGCCTGTAATCCCAGCACTTTGGGAGGCAGAGGTGAGAGGATCACGAGGTCAGGAGACCGAGACCATCCTGGCTAACATGGTGAAACCCCGTCTCTACTAAAAATACAAAAAAAAATTAGCCCGGCATGGTGGCGGGCGCCTGTAGTCCCAGCTACTCGGGAGGCTGAGGCGGGAGAAGGACGTGAACCCGGAAGGCGGAGCTTGCAGTGAGCCGAGATCGCGCCACTGCACTCCAGCCTGGGTGACAGAGCGAGACTCCGTCTAAAAAAAAAAAAAAAAAAAAGAAAAGAGAAAATCCAATTATAAGCCACTTGGGAGAAGAAAGGCAAAATCCAGGACTACCCAGGTAACTCCAAAAGCTTGTTCGCTTTAATCTTGCAAGTCCGATAGCCAAAAATCTATTTGACCTTATAATAATTTCATGTTTAATAGCTCTAAAAGTTTTCTATTAAAGCCTACTAGAATTTTCTTATATCCAGACTTTTATGTCTGCCATTGCTAATATTAGGTTCCTGAATGATCCAGTAAGAAAAATACTTCTATGACTCAATAAGCAATATCATCCCAAGGCTTTAGAGGTGGCTGTGATAGTTTATATTATTTTGACATTTATTTGGTCAGAAATATTTTTAAGTAATTAAAATCTCAATACAGTACCTTTAAACTATTTCACAATTACATATACATGTTGGCAGCTAGAATCTTTCATTACTGTTTCTTTATAAGGTAAAAAAGTAATACAATCATAAATCTAATCATAACTGACAATATTGATGTGAAGCTCCTACAAATGATTAAAGAATGTGATTGACATTCTTGAAGAAATTGTTAAAGAAAGTTGATTGTCCTGCCTCTATTCAAGATTTTCAAAAATAGTATGTAAAGAAATTACATAATATTAGTTCAAAACAGTTATGGTTCAAAACTTAACTTTAGTTCTTCAACTCTTCAGATCCAGGTTTCTGAGGGGAACAGCCTGTTTTATACATTTCTATGTCTTTCTCCATGCTCATATGAAACTATATACTAATAAATAGGAATTTTAACTTGTTTTGTTTTGTATTCCACAAAAATTGGATCATATAATAAAACATTATTCCGTACCTTGCTTTTTATACTTTCTGATGCATCATATTAATTTTTCCAGATTTTTAGATACAATTTGTTTTTTTTTTTGAAATGAGGACTTGCTTTGTTGCCCAAGCTGTAGTGCAATGGTGCCATCATGGCTCACTGCAACCTGTGCCTCCTGGACTCCAGTGATCCTCCCACCTCAGCCTCCCAAGTAACTGGGACTACAGTTGTGTGCCACTATGCCTGGCTAATTTTTGTGTTTTTTTGTAGAGACAGGTTTTCGTCATGTTGCCCAGGCTGGTCTCGAACTCCTGAGCTCAAGTGATCCACCTGCCTTGGCCTCCCAAAGCACTGGGATTACAGGTATGAGCCACCATGCCCAGTCCCCTATTTTTTTTTTAATAAGATCAACTTACCATTCAAAATAGGGAGTTATCATCATTCCTTATTCTGTCAATCAGTCAGACACTTTAAAAATTTTTGTTTCTTCTGCAAGTAAGGCTATAGCTAATGGCCTTGTTTCTATATTCTTATACACAAGTATAATTACAGAGTCGATTCCCAAGTGTGATATTGCTTGGGCTATGCATGTTTAAAATTTTAATAAAAATCACAAATTGTTTGTCAGAAACCTACGACAATGCACATTTCTACCAACCGTGTAAGCTAATAGGTAAGCAGTAATATCTCATTTTAATTTATACTTTTTTGACCACTACCAAGGCTCAGTGCCATTTAATATGCTATTTTGCCCTTTTAATTTCCTCTTCCATGAATTTCCATCATTGTTCATTTTCCTCTTCGGTTTTCTATGTTTAAATGAAAAAGCACCAGGATTTTAGAAATATCTTTTTTTTGGGGTCAATCATATAAATGAAAACATTTTTTCTTTGTCTATTTTTTAAAATTATTTTTTAATACCAGAATTTAAATTTTTCTCCATGCTCAGAATTTCATTTTAAATACATTCATGATATTTTTGAAGTCAACCCCAGACTTTATTTGTTTTCATATATCATGAGAAGTCAAAGAATCAAAGCAATATATTCTCACAACCATGCACATTTTCTCCCTGTCTTGTTCATTCCTGTGTCTGTCACTCTCATAATCCTGTTTCAGCACCTATGAAGGCACTTCTGTGCAATACTTGATTACAGACCTAGCCAATAATTTCTACACTGGAATATATATATATATTATATATTATATTATATATATATATATATAATCACTTAACTATATGAACCACTTGTCCCATAGTAATTATTTTTTCATAGTGCATGATGCAGAAGGCTCCCACATGCCACTCCCATCCCATGGGGGACTGTGCCACTCTATGACAACACTGGCAGAGCCCACCTAATGGCTCCCACTCTACCTGCTCCCCGAACCTGGAAGGAAGGAGGGTGGGAGCTGGATGTCACCTTCTGTGTCACTAGCAGGATTTGATGACCCTGCTGTGAGATGGGTATGTAGAAATCCATTTTCTCTTTCTGGATCTCACACCATCAGCATAAGTGTAAAAGTCGCAGAGCACCCAGCAACAGGTAGTGTCCCATGATGTTGTTATCTTAGGGACATTCTGAAAAGTTTCTTGACCCTGAGTAACTCCTTCAGCATTTTCTTTTCTTTTCCTTTTTTTTTAATGACAGAGTTTTGCTCTTGTCGCCTACGCTGGAATGCAGTGGCACAATTTCTTCTCACTGCAACCTCCGCCTCCCGGGCTCCAGCGATTCTCCTGCCTCAGCCTCAGGAGTAGCTGGGATTACAGCCACCCGCCACCATGCCTGGCTAATTTTTGCATTTTTAGGAGAGATGGGGTTTCACTATGTTGACCAGGCTGGTCTCGAACTCCTGACCTAAAGTCATCAACCGTCTTGGCCTCCCAAAGTGTTGGGATTACAGGGACACCACGCCCCCCAACCTTTAGCATTTTTGACAAAAAAATCAAGTTACTCACATTACATGGCCCTTCTTAGTTGGCAAAGCTCTTTCATTAACATCATCCCATTTAATCTTGGTTAAGCTGTAATGGGTAGGTTGAGTAATTTTTTCAAAACAAAGGATGAATAAGCTCAGAGAGCCTGAGGGACTTACTGAAGATCACACAGTAAATGATAAACTATTTTACTTTATGTCTAAGGTCTTTCATAATATGAAATAGAATGTAGATATTGCAACAATAGCATTTTTGGAGACAGCTACCTCCTTTACCAGGAATAATCTTTGCATGCCACATTTACAGATAAAGCTCAAAATGCAAATCCTTCCCCTGAGAATGGGAAAGCATTAACAAATGGGCACCACAGGTCCTTACATATTCAGAATATTAAACGAATGCTAGGATTATAGAATTGATTTTAAGACATGTTAGTTAATGGAAAAGTTATAGACTGAAAACAATTTTGCAAAAATAGACGTTTGTATATGTGTATATATGTATGTGTGTGTATATATCGACTAGGGAAAAATATTGCTTAAGGTGTTTGTGCCATTTCTCAGTTATCAATTTTTTTTCTGCATTCACAGCATTTGCCACCCCATATCTACACTTAAAGCCACCATATAGCTTTTAATTATTTTACATGCATTTTCAGTCATCATCTAAATAATCATGTATAGCCATAGACTAATACAATTTAGTCAATGAAGCACTTTCATGAAAAAAAATTACAGATTTTTTGAACATGATTCTGGAAATAGTTCATTTTTTACAATTGGTAATTGAGCCTTTGTCATATGAAGCAAGAAATCTGCTATTATTTTAAAAAATCAATTGTACATCAACCATAAAGAAATAGTATAAAAGCCATAAAAACACTACCATTTACTGCAGTAAATGTGGGACATTTTATATGAGTTCCCAAGAAATTTCTTGTATTTAGAACTCTTGGACCTTCACTACTTGTAAATGTGAGTCTATGCTTTACCTTACCATAGCTTTTACCCTAGGAATTTGGTACATTTTATTTAGAAAAGGAAAATGCCAACAGTGAAAATTGAGATAGAGGTAGGAGATTTCAAGCACAGTGGCCCAGCAGGTGTGTGTTCAGGGCAAGTGAAGGTTCTCCTCCACTGGGTTCAATGACTAAAGATTATGAAGATACCAAAAATGCAAGAAGTCACAGGAAATATTTTTCCTCAATGGCAAAGATGACACAGTAGAATGGTTGAGAAGGACAGTTTATTGGCTTCAATTCCCCAGCTGATGTTCAACACTTTATTTAATTCTCACTTGAATTTTAAATTTTTGCTTGAAAAATAATTTCCCATCAATTTCCATTTCTCTGGAAAGTCCCCATGTGTAATTTATTGAAAATATCTCTGAAGAGCAGAATTATGATATTTCCCAGCTGTTGCTCCAGATCATGTAGGGTAGAGGAGGCTGAAGACTGCTACAAGGGAAGGCATCTCTATTGTTTCAAAAGGTCAGGATGGTACGGATACTGCAATAGGAAAGAAGAGACATTGTGTTAACATTTAGAAACCCACATGCTTCCACGTGAGAGTCCAAGGAGCATCTGAGTTGTCTTAGTGAAAATCTGTCTGTGATCCCAGCTACCCTATTTCCATCCCCATACATTTGGTTCAAGTCAAAGGAAGTTCATCTTTTTTGGTGTTCTCTTTCTTTTTATTTTTTATTTTTATTTTTTTCTCCAATCTTAATCTCACTCACAACATCCTGAATATGCCTGTCATTTAGACTTCAATACTACATTAGCATCTTCAAAAAATCATTTTTGCATGCCCACATCCCTAGTATAATAAGGAATATAAAACAACACTAGATAATAACTTGCAGTTAGTTCTTACTATTTGTCACATTCTTTGCACATTTTCTTAAACTTCAACCTAAACATCAACACTAGGAGGTAGGTTTCCATATTATTTCTGTTTTAGAGATTATAAAAACTGAGACTTAGAAAGATATGTAACTTGCTCTAGTAGCACATCTTGTATGGAGTGTTGGGATTCAAACCCAAATACAAATTTGCAAAAATCATAAGATGATGGATAACTTGCCTGAAAGAACTGATAATTTAACAAAAACCATGCTGGAAATTTAAAAGACCTTTGATACAGAGATGTTTAAGGATTCTTAGAAGTAGAGAATAAAGTCGATTTGTATTAATTCTAAGATTCTTCATTCTTGTGAAGATTACAAATGGAACATTTACACTAGAACTAATGCTTCTTCTATAAACCAACTTCTCATGAGTAAATATTTTTAGAAAATGATGGTCTTTGTGACTCTTTAATAATTTTAATTTTTAACATATATATGTATATGCATATGCATATATGAGAAAAACATATGCACATAATTCAGAGAATGCAAGACAGCAGGAAGAAGAAAGTAAAAGTAATCCATAATCCCCCAACCTAGAAATAATTCTCAATATTTTCCTGAATTTCTATGAACTTTTTCTAGAAATATGTGCATGTTTTACTGTTTTTGATGAAAATTTGAGACATTGCATATACAATATATACAATTTATATTCTTCATTAAATGAGCCTGAAATTACATCATGAGAATTTCCCAATTAAGTCATTTCTTTTTGGTGGTTTCATTCATTTCTAATAGATGACTGGAATTTATGAATTTATTTTCCTTGTGTTGAACTTTAGAATATTTCTAAAGTTCTAACGAGTAAACATATATGTATGTTTGAATAGTTGATTATTTCTGTAGAATAGATTTCTAGAAATGGAATTGTTTCTTAATCCAGTCTGTCACTGATGGACATTTGGGTTGATTCCAAGTCTTTGCTATTGTGAATAGTGCCGCAGTAAACATACATGTGCATGTGTCTTTATAGCAGCATGATTTATAATCCTTTGGGTATATACCCAGTAATGGGATGGCTGGGTCATATGGTACATCTAGTTCTAGATCCTTGAGGAATCGCCATGCTGTTTTCCATAATGGTTGAACTAGTTTACAATCCCACCAACAGTGTAAAAGTGTTCCTATTTCTCCACATCCTCTCCAGCACCTGTTGTTTCCTGACTTTTTAATGATCGCCATTCTAATGGGTGCTGACGAGCTGATGGGTGCAGCACAGCAACATGGCACAAGTATATATATGTAACAAACCTGCAAGTTATGCACATGTACCCTAGAACTTAAAGTATACTAATAATTAAAAAATAAATAAATAAATAAATAAAAAAAGAAAAAAAAAAAGAAATGGAATTGTTGGGGCAAATGATTCAGTTATTTTTTTAAGGGTTTCTGATACATATTACCAAATTGCTTTTCCAGAAGTACGTATCAATTACTACTGAAAGTATATGAAAGTGCCCAACTCACCTTATTCTTACCAATATTCAATATTACAATCTTATTTTATTTTATTTATTTATTTTTATTATTATTATACTTTAAGTTGTAGGGTACATGTGCATAACGTGCAG